TATTAATAGGTTAATACACAGAGCGTATTTTAAACAAATGCTGTGAGTGGTATTCCAAGAAATAAGTTTTGGAAGCAATACAAGTTTTGATGTGTGATTCTGTGGAATGTTGTTCATACCAGGAGATCCAAACAGTACATTATTTAAACATTTCCCAATAAAGTTCATTGGTGTTTTCCAGTGTTTGAATATTTGCTGTTGGCTACAGTTCTTTTTTAAATACTTTAAAAGCAGAAATAAAAAGAGAAGAAGAGAATGCTGCTGTAGAATACACTGACATAAAATGGGAAATGGATTTAAAGTCTGAATTGGCAAAAAACAATATAGATTTCAGTGGCAAAACCAAAGCAAGACAAAATATTTTCATCTTTGAATAAAGGAAATGAACTAATATGAAGCAACATGTACCCTAACATCCTTCTTGAGGGTGCTTTTGAAGATACTCTTAATTCAGTGAACCTTAGAACAAAAATACAATAAGCTTTTCTAGACTGTTTGGCATGAAACAGAGATCAAGACTGTTGGACAGTGCACGTAATGCTTTATAGTGTTTGAAAATTTCACCTTAAGAATGACAGCTTTTAAATAGTAAATGTTTGTGGTATTATCTTTTAATTTTTAAATTGATTTTTTTTGGCATTTATTTTGTTTTAATGTTCCGTTTTACTGTTTTATCAGATGTCTTGATTAGGCTGAGATCGCTTTTACATATTATTGAAATACATAATCTTATTATATCAGTTTGACTAATAAACCATGCATTTATTATTATATTTTTCTTTATAGAATACTTCTAAAACTATTATATGAGAAATGATTCACTGTTTATTGTTATGACCTCATTATTATCTAAAAATACATAAATCATATTAGGAGAAATACAGAATAATTTCTATTTCAAGAATTCCCCTTTCTCGTCTTCAAATCCTGAAGATTAATATCTGTTGGGAATTTGGAGACATTAGGACTCACGATATTTGTTACTGTTTTCTAAATTTCCTGACTGATTTTTCTCAGGATTCAGAAAAATACATAACTTTCCCAAGAAATGCGAGGAAGGAATTCCCACAAGGAAGCACTACCAGGCACTATGCTAATCTCGTTGCATGCATTATCTCAGTCCTTATAACAACCCTATGGTATATAGGCACTTCGGTAGCTCCATATTATAGATGAGGAAAGTTAAACATAGAGGAAGAGGAAGTAACACTCTCAAGACCTCATAGCTAGTAAGTGGTAGAACTGGATTCAAACCCAGGCTGAGTCCAGAATGCAAGCTCTTAACCTCTGCACCATCAACTAGGCAGTTGGAGACGTGGGTCTGGAACTCAGGAGACAGGATTGAACTGGAAACGTACACTTAGATGTGTTTCTCTCTCGGGCGCTTTAGTCCTGGTGCGCAGCTTGTGTGGGATGCAGCGTTGCTGGGAACTACAGCAGAGTGGGATTTGATTTTGTCGGTGCTTTCCATGCTATGCAGTTCCATACCGTTGAACTTTCTCTTTAAAACAAAGATCAAAAGAACGTTTATTCTCTAAATTCATTTCAACAAGTTACTTTTGTGCCAGAGCAGACCAAGTGAAGTGACAGATTAAAGAATTAGCCCTACTAGTTTCAGGAAGGGCTATGTGCTTTCTGGCTGGAAACAGTCTAGCGTTTGCTGAAGCCATGCTCCCATCTCTGCTTTGCCTTGTCTGCATCAACAGCCCTGTTTTGCCTCTGCTTAATCCTCTCTTATCAATGTGTCTGTCTCATTCCCTGATTACATTCTGAGTTAGCTCTAGTATGGTACGTCAGCCTCATTTAAGAATAATTTCTTACAGCAGTCTGCTCTTGTCTGTGTCTGTAGAGACGAAGGGAAGAGCAGGGACTTCACTTTTTAATATTAACTTCTTAAAGACATAATCTTTAAACTTTAATTCTTTCCTCATGCCAGAATGCTGCTTAGGTCAGCTGTTAAAAATGTCTCAAATTATGTCTGTGGAAATGCCAACAAGGTCATTATATTGTTTCAGTGTGAGCTAATCAAATTCCTAGAATTTCAGGGCTTGGGGACAAAACAAAACTGCAGTGTGTGGAATTGTAAGGTTGCTCACCCAAACGTGATGGTTTTCTTGCATGGTGACATTAAGACGTGTTGAAGACAGAGCTAGGCAGGTGGCTTAGTTTAATACTACTAGTATCGGTGCATTTCATGGCTAAGAAATATCTTGTAAATGGACCCTATAGAATAGTGCGGTTTTTGAATCCCTTACTGGAAAATCAAGTGTATGGATGATCATTATGAGCTCGAAATTGACTCTTAAGACAGTGGGTTTGGGTTTTTTGTTATCTGTGTGTGCTGTGTGATCTCGGGCAAATGCATAGCTTCTCTGAGATTTCTCATCTTTAAAAAGTAGGAAATATAAACCCTAGGCTATATGAAGATTAAATGAGAGATATTTAAAACTACATACAGTGCATGTGGTACACAATAAAATCTAAAGAAAAGATAGCCCTATTTTTAAAGAAAGGAAATAGTACATAGGTGAGAATCCAGAAACCCCTAAGTGTGTAGGCTTAAGTGTATACAGTACAATTCAAGTGTGTAAGTTTATTAAGTATTATGTTCTGGGTAAGTAAGATATCCACATAATATCTGCCTAATCCTTTAAGTACTCTCATTTTAAAAACAAAACTCTCCTCTCCTGCCCTGTATATTGGAGTTCATTCAGGTGTGTCTTTGATGATTCAGTCATTTGTTAACACCACCCATTATATTATGTTACAGGACAGAGGGGTAACCCTGATGACTGACTGTTGATGGGTGTGGGCCTTTCAGTGAATTCTCTGAGATACTTGGGCAAGTCTGGTGGCACATATTTTCTGCACTCCTGTGTTCTGTTAGATCCCCTCGTATGTGCTTCCCTAGTGCTCTGTGTTCTCCAGTCCCGGCACGTATCACGTTTACTGTAATTGCCTACCCACTGGTCTCATTAAGGTAAGGGACTGGGTTCGCCTGGTTTATCATTGTATTACCATCCTCAGAAATCACCCAACACCCGGAAAGGTGCTCAATAAATACATACTTATTAAGTGAATTGGGAGCCCTGGTGGCACAGTAGTTAAGAACTCAGGCTGCTAACCAAAAGGTCGACAGTTCAAATCCACCACCCACTCCTTGGAAATCCTATGGGGCAATTCTGCTGTGTCCTATAGGGTCACTATGAGTCAGAATTGACTCAACGGCAGTGGGTTTATTAAGTGAATTAATGAAGAAATCCATGCATGTTGTATAGTCTGATCTGCTTTTTGCTGCCCCTTTTCTCTGCTTCTGCCTTTGATGTAGACAGAAATGAAGGTTCCCAGCAGACACCAGATAATTAAATCACAGTTCCATGCTAAACCAGTTGCTGTGGAGTCTGACCCACGGTGACCCTGTTTGTGTCAGAGTAAGACTGTGCTCCATAAGGTTTTCAGTGGCTGATTTTTTGGAAGTAGACCACCAGTCCTTTCTTCCAAGGTGCCCCTGGGTGGACTCGAACCTCCAGTGTTTTGATTAGCAGCATTAACCATATGCACCACGCGGGGACTGCTCCATGTTGAAAAGGAGGAGGGAATAGCTCCAAGTCTTGCCTCAGGAATACTTGGGCTTTGTGTCAGAATTTTGTTTTTTAACTTGTGTGATTAGGAGGCTTTTCCACTTACTTCTAAATTGCCAGCTATTTTGAATGGTTGAAATGGCTGCATGTGTTATGTCCTGGCTAAGGGAGGCGTTGAAGCGTAGAGCTTTGAGGTCAGACAGGCCTCCATCCAATTCAGTTCCTCATGAGTGGCTCTCTAATCTTATTACCCATCTAAAGCCTTAGGCTCCTTATCTGTGCAGTGGCATTAATAGTAATATTATTTACCTCATGGAGTCGTAAAGATTGAGATGACACATATAAATGCTTAGCTAATGCTTGGCACATAGCGATAACCATTAACTTTATATTATTACTGTAAGTCATTTACATTTTATTTACATGGAATAAATAATCAAGCTATGTCAATTCTGATGAATTACTAAAATGTGAACTATTGAAACCTTTCTTGGTAACACTGATGTGGTGGCCTTGAAAATGCCCTACCCACCTCTCCTGGGAGTATAATGGACTGACAGCCCCAGCTGCCGCCCCTCTGGGTCCACCACAGCATTTGCATCAAGGCTACACTTCCTCTGGGCTGCTCCCAGCCAGGAACTGGACACAGTGGGGCTGCTAATACAGGCTGATTCTCACCAGGCATGGGACTCCTTTCATGGGTGACTTTGGCTCAAGAACTCCTCATCAGCTTGGCTGAAACTTCCTTAAAACTCAGCTGCAGTCTAATAATCTTTCTCCCTGGTCCTCCTGCCTTCCCTCTGCCCTTCACAGGGGTCAGACGTGCATCACCATCTGAAGGCTGTCCCAGCCTTCTCCAGCCTCCTCTCCTTGTCCTTTTCTGGTGTTTTCCTTCAGTAAACCTCGTGCATGTCTTGGTGTCTGCTTCTTGGAGGTCTTGAGCTAGCACGAACAATTAGAATAGTTGTTGGAAGGGAGTAACATCCTGGACCCTAGAGTGTGGAGTTTGTATTCGTTCCATCAACTGTGAAGTGAACATCATTGTAATGAGTTTAACTTGTTCTTTATGTTATTGCTTTACCTCAGGATTACGGTTTGGTGTGAATTATCATCAGTTCTCTAGGATAAGCATTAGCTACCATTTCCATAGGGGAGACTGCTAACATTTCGGACTTAACAAGTTAATCTGCACGTTGTTGTAAGGTTGACCTCATTTAGGATAGTCCCGAATGGTGCCAGACCTTTAGTGGGATGTAATGATTTTAGCCTACAACATTCATGAACCAAAAATTTCTCAATAAACAAAAGAGAGAGAAATTATTGATAGCTCTTCAGTGTTTATTTTTAGTCTTCTGCGAATTTCTTTGGTTTTCTAACCCTTTCTCCTGAATCCTCACATGATTATTATTCTTGTGACAGACCAGGTCCAGGGGACAGTCACCATCCGGAACATCAGCACTCTGTCTTCAGGTCTGTACCGGTGTGTGGCCTCTAACGCCATTGGGACCAGCACCTGCCTTCTGGATCTCCAGGTTATTCCACGTAGGTGTATAGAATTCTGACGTCACCAGGGAAGAAATGGTTCTGCTAAATTGTTTTCAGGTTGTCTGAAAAGTACTAAACAGAAATTCTTTCGGTTTTAGTCATTATTGAAAGTACTATAAAAATGTGTTGGTATGCTTCTCATCCTCAACAATAGGATATTTTCTTTATGGCAAAATATCTTCCTCCTCAGGATCATTAGAATCATTAGAATAGATTTACTATATGCTATTACATTAGAATATTATATTAGTATATACTTATTATATTAGAATCATTTAGCATATACTGTATAAGGTAACATATAGTACTGTAGACATTACGGAGCCCTGGTGGCACAGTGGTTAAGAGCTCGGTTGCTAACCGAAAGGTCGGCAGTTCGAATCCAACAGCCGCTCCTTGGAAACTCTATGGGGCAGTTCTACTCTGTCCTGCAGGGTCACTATGAGTCAGAACCGATTCGATGGCAACGGGTTTGGTTTTTTTGGTGTTACAGACATAACGAAGAGCCCTAGTGATGCAAGTTAAAGTGCTTGGCTGCCAACCAAAAGGTCAGCAGTTTGAACCCACCAGCTGCTCCACAGGAGAAAGAGGTGGCAGTCTGCTTCCGTAAAGATGTACAGCCTTGGAAACCCTACGGACAGTTCTACTCTGTCCTGTAGGATCACTGTGAGTCGGAATTGACTCAACGGCAGTGTTTTTTTTTTTTTTTTAGAGACATTACAGAAATTTGTAATGATCTTATGGCTATGACAAGACCTTCTTGTGTTTTTCCCTAATTCCTTTTATCTGCTCAGTTGTTAGGTCCCCAGGTCATAAAGAGGCATTCTCTTTAGCGGAGAACTCTGAGCTGTTGGGATTCACTTGCAAGAGAGTGATCTGGCTGTGATGTGATGATGACGTGGCACACTGAGTGCCAGGGCTCACAGGCAGCTCAGGCCATTAGACAGGCAGCATCGTATTCCCACTCTGCTCTGTGTGCTGTGTGGGTTGTTTGTTCATTCACTCAACAAATGTTTGAGAGCCTATGATGTGCTAGTCCTAGCCAGTGGGGAAATAGAAAATGAATTAAGGTTTAACTTTATATGGGTGCAATACTTTAGACAATTTTGCACATATTAAAAAGAATGTTTAGTAAACAATCTTGTGTTTAGTCCAAGCACAGTTGCATGGGTATATGCTATTCTTCTTTTTTTGTTCTTTAAATATACGTTAAATATGTTTTGCAGCCCATCCCAGGAGCATTGGACTAATAGCTGGAGCCATTGGCACTGGTGCAGTTATTATCATTTTTTGCGTTGTACTAATTTTTGGGGCATTCTTTTACTGGAGAAGTAAAAATAAAGAGGAAGAAGAAGAAGAAATTCCTAATGAAATAAGGTTTGTGTGTCAAATAACTGTCTTGCATAGCCAGTGTCTGTATTTCTGTTCATTTTGGCAGTGAAGATTTTTTTGCTAATCTCACGACTGTGATGGCCAAGATAATTGAAGTGGCCAGGGTCCAGACATCATTTTGGGGGTTTTGTCTCAAATATGATTATGACCCTAGGTCAGAAATAAAAATATCACTTCTTTGTGTGTATGTGTTAGAAATTATTGCAAGGGTTGATGGTATTGTGGCCCTAGAGTCAGGAATATCTGAGTTTAGCTCTCCTCCAGTCACCCTCATCCTACGCCCTGATCATTCCCCCAGATGAAGTTTACAAGGGTGCTGTGTACAGGAATCATTAGTCAAATGGGAGTCCAAGCACAGCTTCATTATAACTGAGTTAGTGTCTAGCAGCTGTCAGCACATAGCATGATAAAAGCTGGGTGAAGGCATACTGGACATGGACTGGGAGCCTGCTGCCGTGATCAGTGAGCTTAGTGAGGACAGAGAGAGATGCCAGGTCTGACAGGTGGGAGCTACCTGCCCAGCTGCATTCAAAGGAAGAGAAGAGAAGAAGCGCACTGTTAGGAACAGACTCTCGCTGACTGAGGAGACAAGCTCCATTCTTGGGAAGGTGTCACTGAGATCATGTACGTTGCTAGTTAGCGTGTCCTGGGTTTCAGGTGCGTCCTGCTAATGATAGTAACTCCCTAGTCTTTTTTGATGAAAGTAAAATTAAATGATTAGATCCATCACTTGATGTATTTGCCATCAGCCTTTCCTTCTTCAACATGTGTCGTGCTTTTTCTGATCTAACAAAGCAAGGTGTGGCTGTTGTTCTTTTGAAAACTCTCCCGTATTTTACTTCTTATTTTTCTGGCTCTCTGACACGACTAACAGGGTGGTTTCTGAGATGAATTTTGTGTCTGTGAGCGCATGTGTGCATACCCGCTGACAAGTGTGCAGGTGTGATTGTAAAAAAAAAAGGAATGTCTCTTTTCCTTTCACAAGTACTGCCCCAACACTGTTAGTTTCTTTTGTCTCTGGGAAATGTCACTTTGGACATTCACCGTTCTTTCTCAGGGCACATAGAGTTACACAGTGTCACTCTGTGCAAGAAAGATCCTGGGATTTGCACTTGAAGGGTCAAGCCTACTCTGCCCAACTCTGCCTTCTTTCTTAAGAAGCATATCTTCTTTGTTTCAAAGAAAGCAGAAGCCCACAGAATTTTTTGTTTGTTCCATGTAGACTGCCAGTATCCAGAAAGGATGAACTCTGTAGTTAGCCTCAGCTTTTGAAACAAAGTATAACAATCAGGTTTTAGCTGTGTTGGCATCTTGCGCTTATACTGAAGCTGTGCGGTAACTAAGGTATCAGAGGACCTCACACCTCGGCCCGACTCTTCCTTTGGATATTCTGAGCATATCAGTTATCTACTCTGTTCTCTTTGTTGCTCCTCCGTCACTGGGCAGCCTTTGGGAGGTTCCGTGTCCAGGAGCAACATGCCCAGCACCGTTTTCTCCAGCCACTCACACCTGAGCTTGACTTTCACAGATCAGGTAGCTTCAGATTTGTGTGCATAGGAGTGAGTTGTTATTCCTGAGCCCAGCATATGCTCTCTCTCAGGGCTGTACGATGGGGCCTGCTGGGAGGTTGGAAGGTGTGTCAGGAGCAGTGTGGGTTTTAAAGTCAGACCAAATCCTGACTGTGTCACTTTCCAGGAGACACTGAGGCAGTGAGCACACCGCTCCAAAGCCTTGGTTACTTATGTAAAAATGAAATGTGATGATTATGTAAAAGGCTTGCTTGGCATAGGCCCTAGCATGTAGTAGTCAGTCAGTAAATGGTAACTATATGATTGTTGGAAACCCTGGTAGCAGAGTGGTTAAGAGCTATGGCTGCTAACCAAAAGGTTGGCAGTTCGAATCCACCAGGTTCTCCTTGGAACCCTGTGGAGCAGTTCTGCTCTGTCCTATAGGGTTGCTATGAGTCGGAATCGACTGGATGGCAACGGGTTTTGATTTTTTTATATGAGTGTTATCATCTCCCAGATAACTAAGATGAATTGTGGTAGCAGCAGTCACTATGAAGAAAAGTTATGCATATGGAAAAATAAAACTCTGTGTGTGTGTGTGTGTTATATGACTAGACATACATGAATGAAGTGTGGCTGTTTCCACATGGTAACCCTCTTGTTGGCATTAAGACTCTTGGCCCTACTGAGATCAACCTATTATTAGATTCACAGAGAATCTACATCTTTGTAAATAATATTAATGATCTTTAGATATTTGGGGTATATACTACTAGAAAACCAGTCTCCTGTTGCGTGGATCTGGTTACGGTGAAGAAAGAAAGAAAAGCCGTGCGAGGTTAGAGGGAGCTTCCAGGGCAATGGCAGTTAAGAAGGACACACTTCTGCCAGTGTGCTTCTTGAATGAGATGGGGTTAGGAATGAATTTCTCATTTGTGTTCGTTTTCTTAAAGGGAAAATTTGTCACAGTCTAAATCTAAATCGAGAAAATGGTGTTCTTAACATGAGTGTTAAGATCCTTGGATATTATTTTAACATTTTGAAACCACACTTTTTCTTGTGGTCTCTTGCAATAGTAAAAAGCCTGTGGAGTGTAAGGTAAATTCATACGCAGATTTTTTTCAATAACCACAGCTTTTTATGGAAACATTTAAGTACAAATAAACTGAACTCACTTCAGATTTAATAGATCTTAATCCTTTAAGCCACAACCCACATTTTCCCCCTTAGTGACAGCTTTCTAAAAATTTGAATTCTTGAGATAATTACTTCACATCTTGTCTTCACTTTGTTTTTCTAAGTATTAGGTTTGCAGTCTCCCAGAGACTGGCCATTTGCTAGACTGATTTTAGATTGCTCTCATTATTATGGTGTATATATATCTACACATATATATATATGTATACATATCTTTATATGTTTGTTTTATTTTTTGGACAAGCTCTTTCATATTAAATCTTCCTAATGACCCTATGAGCTAGGCACTATTTTATGCCCGTTTTACAGATGAGGAAACTGAGCCATGGAGAAGTTAAGTAACTTATCCAAAGTCATATAGCTGGTGATTGGCACAGGTGAGATTAAAACCCAAGCACTCTGGACCTAGAGTCTATGCTTATAGCCTTTTTGCATTCAAATGCATTGAACTGAGGAAAATACCTTGGGTTTTAGGGAAAAAATTCATCTCCAAGTAGTCTTTTCATGATAGTGAGAAAAGAGGAGAACATAAGACAAGAAGGAACACCAGGGGAAGGCAGCAGTACCTGCTCACAGATAGGCTGGAGCAGTGTGGGTTGGCATGAAAGACAGTTCAGCCAGGGGTATGCAAGTCTTATGAGTACAGTGTCAAAATGATCTTTAGAGGAAAGTGACTTGGCGTATTGTGGAGATTGAGGGGTTTCAGGTGCAGTCTTCGATTTTTTCCTGTCATATCTTTGGTTAAAGCACTTTAATGATGCTAGTCTCCTTAGCATGACATACATGGCCCTCAGGACTGCATCTACTTTCCTGGTCTTTACTCTCAGCACTTCCTAGCTCACTATGTTCCAGTCACTCTTCAGCATTCTCCTGTGTCTCAGGGCCATTGCTCACACCTCTGCCCTTTGCCTCTACTCCTTCCCCCTTCATTCCTCTCTTCACTAAATGCCTCGATCCCAGTCGGGACTAGTCTAGGCAACAACTCACATAGGTTGCTTTGTCCCCCTTGCCCAGCCTTTCAGATTTGCAAATATTCTTGCATTTACTACCACCCCGTTTGTCTGTAAGCTTCTTGGGTTTGTCACTTCTATCTATATTTGAAACATCTAGTAGGATGCCTGGTACTTAATAAATAAATGTCAAATAAATTAGTTAATGTCTTAATCTTAAAGTAAATGAATCACTTCTCTTAGCCTCTTGTTATTCTTAAGGGTTTGGGCTGTGGGTAGGGGTAGATTCTATCCTAACATAAGATTACTGCGGAAAACCTCCCAGTGGCCCACTACAGCAATTTCTTCAACCCCAAAGGACAGTAAAATCAGGCCAACTGAAATCATTTCTTGAAGAAGTCACTGTTTCCCACAAACTATAGCTTGTTTTATGAGCTATTTTACAGCAGCTATCTCAGTGGATTTCTTCATGGGCTGTTTTCCTATTTACAGCAAAAAAGGAAAGAAAAAACTCATTTTTTTACTTACGTTGGAAGAGGCTGTCTGTGAGAAATTTGATAATTCCTTTTCTACTCTTGGAGACTGAGAAGTTGAGGAAAAATTTTCTTGACCATTGTCTCAGAGAGTGAGTGCCGTCCAGGGCTACTGTGTTTGCTTTCATAATAAAGTGGTTTCTCCAGAAGAATTTGTGTTTCACAGGCGTATTAACCTTAGCAGGAGAAGAAGGAGTGCTGGGCAGGAGGGTGGGATAAACCTCATATAAATCCTAATGACAATTTTTCTTTTTTTTTTTTTTTTAATTTCTTCTCAGAGAGGATGATCTTCCACCTAAGTGTTCTTCTGCCAAAGCATTTCACACAGAGATATCTTCCTCAGAAAACAACACATTGACCTCTTCCAACACCTACAACAGTCGATATTGGAGCAACAATGCAAAAGTTCATAGAAACACGGAGCCATTCACTCACTTCAGTGACTTGCGCCAGTCTTTCTCCCTCCACTCAGGCAATGCCAATATACCATCCATCTATGCTAATGGGAACCATCTGGTCCCGGCTCCACATAAGACTCTGGTAGTGACAGCCAACACAGGGTCCTCACCACAGGTTGTGTCCAGGAACAATGGCTCTGTCAGCAGGAAGCCTCGGCCTCAGCATGCACACTCCTACACCATCAGCCAAGCAGCACTGGAGCGAATTGGTGCTGTGCCCGTTATGGTGCCCGCCCAGAGTCGGGCTGGGTCCCTGGTATAGGACAAGAGGAGATATGGTATTCAGAAAAGAATAATGGAGTGCATCATACACGGGTGGTAGGGTGGGGCGAGCACTGGGAAAGAAACACTTTCCTTATCATTTTATTAGTAAAAAGCACCAGAAGAAGCAATGTTGTTACCTGGCCACTAAGGTTTGTAAAAGGGACTAGAATGCTCCACCATGAAGACTTCTTTACCCACCAGAGATTTCCTGGGATTCTGTTCAAAAGCTGGACCTCAAAGACGTGCCAAGCTAAGGAAAATGCAGAATAGCACTTCAAGCCCAAGTTGCAGTCCGTATGGGCTTGTTCTTTAATCCTTGCCTAACTTGATAGCTTTTTTTTTTTTCCCAAGAGACTAAAAGTGCCAGATGAAGTTTAAATAATGAAATTATTTAAAAAGAAAGGGATCTTTAGAAAAACTCACGAGCAAGCCTGTAATATGTTCTGTGTCTCCCATTTCCTCACGCAGGGGGCGTGATGGCAGAAATGGTCAGTACTGGTCCCCACAAGGCTGGCTCTTGTATCAAAGAATCAAAACATTTTACATAAAAAAATGCTGTAAGAAATGGAGAAAAGCAAAGGAAACTTCTTTGGGATGTCCCTTCGTATTTATTTATTTATCTCTTCCTGAACCATGAATTTCATATTTGGAATATTGCTGTATCGACAGATTCTTGCCTGTCTTCTCTTTTCTAGGATCAGTTACAGGTCCATGGCAATTACTGTTCATTATTTCCTGGAAGAATATTTTTTTAAAAGACAACTTTTGTTTTTAAATACATGAGGGGTATTGGGCTAGGGAAGGACAGACTGCTATTTAACCTGTGTTCAGTGACCTCTGTAGGAGGCTCATCACGGAAGAAGGAGGTTGTGGTTTGTGTGGGCAGCACAGACCAGGAAGGCAGGTCTCAGGACAGCCTCTCTGAACAGGGTTGCCCAGAGCTCCTTGTTATCACACTAGGTAACTCGTAATGAGCGCAACCCCGATGCCTCTCTGCTGAGGTCGATGATAATTTGCCCTTTGTTTAGTAGGTGAGTAGGTTGTTACAGAGAGGGCAGGAGTTGTTTGGTTTTTGTTTTTTCAAACTCATTATTCTTCTAAAAGCATTAAGACCAAGACAAAAGAGGTGTCTTCAGGCGTGCTTCTGGGAGGGTCTTCCCTATGTCTGTGACATCTCAGGGTTGCAGTTTTGCACAGAGTTTTCCCCAAATGCATTTCACACCGCTTTAAAGAGGCTCCTTTTGTGATTAGTTACGTGGCTTGGCTTGGCTTGCCTGGCAGTTCATCCCATAATTTACCAGCTCCCCACTAGGTTTTGTGCTGTGTAAATCTGGCCATATTTGTGGTGGTGACTGTTTCGCCTTAATCACAGTTAGAGCAACCCACAAATGGTTTCTTCCCGGATTTGTTTCCTATGTTATTTATAATACCAACCCTGTGATTCATGAAGAGCATCTTTTCTTTCCTGGATGTGTTCTCTCCCTCTGTCTCACTCCATGCTATTTGCCCTCTTTTCTTGCAAGCATAGTCATCGTAGGGAGCGGCCTGTGGATTTTCAGACTTACATGAATAAATGGAAACCAACAGCTGCTGCATACACTGTTTTTCTTAGAGGGCCAAGTTCAGAACCTAACCATTGCAACCATTCCATTATCGCTAAATGCTCAATTTTCTTTAGCATTACTTATTTTTTTTTCCATTTGATGGTTCTTGACTTTGTAAAAGTTTAAATAAATGAATGTCTATACTTTTTTATAAAGAAATATGAAAATACCATGGCCCAGAAAAGACGGTACTATCCGATGTTGTTTAGACAGCATTTATCTTATATTTCTTTATTCTTTCTAATTATCTAAAATTCAATAAAAGTTTATTCATATAAAAACAGTTGTCATTAATTATCATAATACTAGTGAATATATGATTTTGCAGTTTCTCTTAATTTTATAAGAATTTTTCATGCTGTTAAATAGTATTCATAATATTTTTAATGACTGTATAGTATTCCAAAATTCATCTTTCTCTTATTGTTAGAATTTTAAGTTGATTCTAATACTCAAATGTTTTGCTGAAAATGTGATGATGCTCCCCATATGTTAAGCTATTTTCGTATTTCCTAGCCTGAGAGTTCATAAAGGCGGGGTCCCTGTCTGCTTTTTTCACTACTGCCTCTCCGTCGCCTAGCACAGTGCCTGGTATGGGTGTTGAATAGATAAATGACTGATAAGTCCTGAGCTGAAATTAGCAAATCAAGTTTTGAGCATGATTGTAGCTCTTGATACATATTGGGTCATTATTTTTTTTTTTTACCTTTATTTAGAGATAATTGTATATTCACATACAGTTGCAAGAAATAATACAGAGATCTGATACACCCTTCCTGCAGATTCCCCCAATGTAACATCTTGCATAACCACCGTACAATGTTACAAATTGACATAGATGCAATCCAGTGACCTTAGTCAGATTTCACCAGTTATACATGCACTAGTGAGTGTGTATTTAGTTCTTGCAGTTTTATCACTTGTGTAGATGTTTGTGACCACTGCCACAGTCAACATAACAGCATCCCTTGTGCTACCTTTTTATAGCCACAACTGCTTTCCTCCCTCCCTTAGTCCCTAACACCTGACAATAACTAATCCATCTGTATAACTTTCTAATTTCAAGGATACTGTATAAATGGAATCATGCAGTATATAACCTTTCAGGGTTGGGTTTTTTTTTTTTTTTTTACTTAGCATAATTTCTCTTGAGATCCATCCATATTTTTGCATGATCAGTAGTTCATTCCGTTGTATTGCTGAGTATTAGTAGTCCATGGTATGGATGTATCACAGTTTGTTTAACCATTAACCCATTAAAGGACATTAGGGCTGTTTTCAGTTTTTGGCTATTATGAATAAAGCTGCTATGAACATTTGTGTACGGGTTTTTGCATGAACGTAAGTATTGATCTGGGAAAAGCATGAAAGAATGCAGTTACTGGGGCATACGGTAAGTGCATGTTTAGTTTTGTGAGAAATTGATACACTCTTTTCCAAAGTGGCTGTACCATTTCCATTTCCATCAGCAATGTATGAATGATCCAGTTTCTCTGCATCCTTGCCAGGATTTGTGTTATCAGTATTTTTTATTTTAGCCATTCTTATACATCTATAATGATTTCTCATTGTGGTTTTAATTTGTTGTTCCCTGATAACTAATGATAGTGAGCATCTTTCCATTCACTTATTTGACCTCTGTATATCCTTTTCAGTGAAATAATTGTTCATGTCTTTTGCCCATTTTCTAGATGATTTTTTTTTTACTGTTGAGTTTAGAGTTCTTTAGAAAGTTTATATACAAGTTCTTTGTTGAATGTTTGTTTGCAGATACCTTCTCCCTGTTTGTAGCTTGTGTTTTCATCATCCTCACAAGGTCTTCTGCAAAGCAAAAGTTTTTAATTTTGATGAGGTCCAATTTATAAATTTTTCCTTTTGTGGATTGTGCTTTTGGCATCAAGTCTAAACTCTTGATTTAGCCCTAGGTCCTAAAGATTTTCTCCTGTTTGTGTGCTTGCTTTTTCTAAAAGTTTTATAGTTTTACACTTTACATTTAAGTCTGTCACACATTTTGGGTTAATTTTTGTATAATAGGTAAGGTTTAGCTTGAGATTCATTTTTTTTCACCTATGGATGTCCAGATATTCCAGCACCATTTGTTGAAAAGTCTGTCCTTCCTCCAGTGAATTGTTTTTCTACCATATTTTTGTGAGTTTGTTTATGAATCTCTAGATTTTCCACTGATCTATGTGTCTATCATGCAGTCTTAATAACTGTAGCTATATAATAGCTACTCAATATTGAGTAGAATGATTCCTGTCACTTTATTTATTTTTACAAAATTGTTTTAGCCATTCTTAGTGCTGTGCCTTTCCATATGTTTTAGAATAAGTTTTTCTATGTCTACAAAACACCTTATTGGTTTGATAGTGATTGCATTAAACCTATAAATTCAATTTTGGAAGAATTGACATCTTTACAATTTTGAGTCTTTCAATCCATGAACATGGTATGTCTCTCCATTATTTAGGTCTTCTTTGATTTCTTTGATCGGCATTTTGTAATTTTTAGGAGACAGATCCTGTACATATTTTGTTAGATTTATACCTCAGTATTTAATTTATCTTTTTGTATAATTGTAAATGGTACCCTGTTTTTAATCTTGGCTTCTACATGTTTGTTGTTAGTAAATATAAATGTAATTGAATTTTGCATGTTGATCTTGTATCCTGCAATCTTGATGAACTCACTTACTCCAGAAGTTTTTTGTTTGTTTTTTGATTCCTTGAGGTTTTCTGTGTACATCATCATGCCATCTGCAAATAGGGACAGTTTTATTTCTTTTTCTTAGCTTATCACAATGGTTTCTATAAGTCTTGTGGCTGCTGAGTGGGGTGCAGACTCAGCTCATCCTGGACCTTGTTGACACTACCCTGGCAGGGGAACTGAAGTTTTGCCTTCTTCCTCCAGGCAGGGGATAGAAGATCAGTTCCCCACTCAGCTCCACCACCACCACCTGACAAGATAGTGTTGCCTGCTCCTGCCTGTCAGGAGATGGAATAATTAGCTCTCCACTTGTTCCTGCTGGCACTACTGGACAGGATTTGAAGCACTGCCACCCTGCAGGGCAGGGGTAGGTGGAAAATCATTTTTTCACGCAGCCATACTGAAACTGCAAGTGGGGTTGGGCTAGGGTGGTGGTGCAGCTTTTCTGTTTGTGTTTGGCTGGAGTAGTGTGAGTATTGCCAAAAGTCATCTATTGTTAAGCTCTCCTTTCCCCTTTTCTCCTTTGGCTGGGGAGGACAAGCTTTTATTGGATTTTGTTTGTTTATCTGTGCCATTGACAATTTCAGGTTGGAGGTTTCGGCAGCGTTCTGTCTGGGATATATGAGAAGTAACAAGGAAACCTAGAGAACTTACAACCATGTTATTCCTTAAGTCCCCGGGTCACTAGGATATCCATTTCTTCTTTCCACCATTCAGTGTCCTTTTATACTTGTTTGTTGTGCTATGTCTAGAGTTTTCTAAGTTGTGAGAAGGAGAACCCTCTTAAAATGGAGCTTGAAGTGGGGCTACTACGTTTTGGTTAGAACCAGACATCCCGGATTATTATAATCAGCTTTTTAAAATTTCTTATACTACACTCCTATTTAGAAGCTTTCAAGGATTCTGAATTGTGTATTAAATAAAATTCTTCACTCCTTGACTCAGTCAGTTCCTTTCACAAATTGTCCACTATTTTTCCATTTTCAACTTCCAATATTCTACATGCAAAATTTGCTCCAAGACTGTTCACCTTCCCTTGAACTGACTTTTTTTCTTTTCTCCTTTT